CCCAACCTCCATCTCCTCCTAAATTCCCCTGTCTAAGACGGAATTTTTTTCTGGCTCCCTTGAGATTCTGTCTTACACAGGTTCGACTGTACATAGTTTTTTTCTTATTACTTAATTACCATACCAGGTCATTTAGTTTATGTCACTCTCTCCTTCTCACTTTGTCCCTCACTATTATCTTCATTATTCATCTCCCAGTCTCTTTGCTTCTTTTGCTGCTTTAAATTGCATTTATCTAATCACATATCCACACTCTACAGGGTGCTCTATGAACTTTACAACCATCAATATATAATAAATTTCATCATGACAACATTCACTCGCAGTTTGCAGCAACATCGAATACATTGTATAAAATCTAAAACAGTTAAAACCTGAGCAGTTATTTGCTTTTATCCAATCACTTTATAATGATAATAAGAATAAGAAAGATATTACCTCAAATTTTCTGTAAATGGCTGTCTATGTATTAACATATATCATGTACTTTGTCTTCAACAGAACACTGGTATCATCAGACACCATGAGTTCAACAAGTGCGTGGAGGCTGGAGCGGATAACGTTTTACACCTGAAATTCTGTAATGCCAAAGCAACTGGTAGTAGATGGGTTATCAATGAGGTTTATCCTTGGAAAAAGTCCTAGGGGCTTTTTCGTTGATGTTGTTAAAAGTTCTTCGTACTTACTCCTTGTTGAGAATGTATGGTATTTATTTATTTTCTGTACAGTGTTGTTCCGAAATGAAAACGTAGGTTAGATTTTCAGTTTTGATGAATCTAGTCTTGATAACACATTCTAAGTTGGGGCTAGGGTTGTCCATATTATTTAATGTTGAATACTTTATAAAATTATATATATATTTATATATAGAAGGTGCTGGTTTTTGATTTTGTAAAGTTCTTCCTATCCAATTTCAGGGATGCTGTCTTTCCATTTTTTCTGGTTATTTCAGTCACTTTCTTTAGTAGAACAGTTATTATTCTAAGAATTTGCTTTCTGTTTAACCCCACGTAAATTGTGTCCTTTAACCATCTCTTTGTTCGAAAGTCCAACTTCATATGTTTTCACAAAATCCCAGTGGCATCCCTGTAATTTTATCTTTCACTTGTTTCTACATGATAAATATATTTTGAAGTTTTCAAAGGCCCATTGATATTCCTTTTCAAAGTCAAAGGCTGCACTGATATTCCTTTTCCAAGTCAAAGGCCGTATTGATATTCATTGGCCATACCTCAGATTGTTTTTTCTATATTTTTAGACAGGGTAATTTCTCTGCTTCCGATGTCCTTGTAGAGTTCACTCCATTTGCGGCAGGGTTTATTTTTTTTCTTTTCAGAAAACAAATACTGTTGCTGAAGCCTTTTATGTTACTCTGTATTACTTTCAGAAGTATTTGTCTTTTTTTGTGCCTTGGAAATGTTATGTGGAGTAATGCTATACAGTAGAACATGACTATAGCGGTACCCCCTGCAGTGGGACCTGACCGGAATCCCCCTTTTTTTTTTCTATGTAAACTCAATTATTTAGTTATGCTTGGGTTGAACGGGGCAAGGAAAGGCCCAAACTTGGATACAGTGGGAGAGATTGAGCAAGCTCTAGCTGGGGGGGGGGGGGGGGGTTGTGGGGGCGGGGGGGGGGGGGGGGTTTTTGGTGGACTCCAAACAGACATTTAGCAGTGTGGCATTGTGATTGGCCAGTCCAGTGATGAGTGAGGTGGGGCAGGCGGCAAAAAAAGTTAGGCTAAGTGAGCCACTCCAAAAGTGATGTGCCATGGTCCTAGGCCTAGGCTACGCCAAAAAGGCAGTTAAAGAAGAGCAAAGCGTGTAGTGTGTCATTTTTCGGTAATTCCCCTTTGCATTCTTATAGCGGGAACTTGCCTGCTGTGGGATTTTTCTTCTGGAACTAAAAATCCCGCCATAGCCATGTTCTACTGTATTTAGTTTGTCTGTTGTTTACAAACAAAGCTGTGTCTTTGTATCTGGAACCATGTCACATTTTGAGGAGAGTCCTATGACATATTGTGGCTCTGCTCTCTGTTGGTTGACTTCAATATTTTTAGATGTGTGGAGGATGAGCACCAAAATATTACTTGTAGTTTGGAGTGCGCTGTTTGTAGCTGCCTGATGCTATTGTTTTAAAACCATCAACTTCTTGTTATTTTAGTTTACTTTATATAACATATTTTCGAGGAGTATGCTTTAGCTCTGTCAAAATCTGTTGTCTGTATAAATTAATATTATCTGTCTGGTTTCTTACATAGTGTCTTTGGCAACTTTGCACAAAATTTCTGCTCCCAACCATTCCCAAACTGTTGTGGTTGGGACAAAAACTTTCTGTAGGCCTATTTTGTTTGTTTGTTGCTATGGTTGTTCCTATTGGTCTTCCTTAAAACTTTAATTGTTTTTTCCATAAATGTTTTTCCCAAGTACCTTATATCTGTTCAAATGCCTGAAGCATTTCAGAGAGTATGCTATGAGTTTGTATTTTTCCCCACCCCATAATAACTTTCTATATATGTATTTTCTGGTCTGACGTCTGAAGACAAGTGCTGCCTTGATAACTCCATTCTTGAAATCGTTTGTTGTCAGTGGCCCTCAAATATGAATATCATCATTGTGTTATGGTGCCATCTCTGATCACATGTTCTACTTACCCCGGCTCTCAAACTTTTTCTGCAAGGACCTCTCTATTGTACTTTACAGGGGGTCCTTTCTGTTTTCTCTACAAAAGAACCCCCAAAAACCTAACTAGTGTCTGTGTTGCAATGGTTAGGCTCTTTACTGTTGTATGCCAAAGAATTTGTTCAATTCATGCCTGGGGAAGTATTTCATTGAACATCTCCACCTGTCTGCTAGGATGTTAAATCTCTTTCAGCATGGGTTTGTCGTGACAGGCAGTGGGGGCAGGGAGACACAACTGCAGTCTATTGTCTTGGTCTTAATTAAAGGCCAAGGAACATTTCTGCATTTTCTCTTATTTGGAATGGGTGCTTATTTTTCTGCTTTGTTTCTGTAGTAAGAAATTGTCTGGTATTAATAGGGTTGTCTTTTTTTGTATGAATGTGTTCTCTTTGAAATTTATTCAGTTGATATCAGAACATTTCATACTGAAAAGAGCCTGGGGTATAATCGCAATCTTCAAGAAAGTGTTCTGAGCTAATTTATGTTGTGCAAAGCATAATGTGAAGTCTTTCCGCATGTTTAGCATTTGGCTATCAATCTGTCTGTCTGCGAACATTTTGTCTCACTATCGTATAATATTGAATAAAGGACGATCCACCTCCAGTTCAATTTTATCCTCTTGACTTACATCGCATCAAATATTTTGCAAATTGTAACTCAATAATTCTATCATAATTTTATTGAAGGTACGTATGTATGAAGTCTGCTGTTGACACTGTGCAGAATTGCAGACATTGTGTACCTTGCTCCACATTCCCCTCTATATAATTGTTCAAATGGGGTGACAATCAACACACTGGTGTTTTATCGGCAGGACTGCTGCTTATATATACTTTTAAAAAGTTTTATCCAATTTTTGAATTATTCTGCGGGAATTGCTGCTTTGTCTATCTACTTCTAGAAGATTGAAACATTGTGGATTCTCTCACTTTTTCTTGTTCCATTAAAATAAGCTTTCTGTAGATCTACATAATTGTGTTAACTTTGTCTTTTAAAGAATGTGGAATGTTTTGTTTGTTTTTGTGTGTGAGTTTCAAATAGCAGTAGAGTTGACACGAAAAGCTTTTATTTCAAAGACAAGTCACCTGGTCCAGAAGGTAGACTGTTACGAATAGAATAAGAAAAAAAACGGGAAACCAGTATAGTACCTCACCCAGTAAGTAATCATCAAGTGAATCTGGTCAAGCATTTTATTCTGCCTTGTCTTGATGTACTTTGGATCCTTTTGTATTTGTATTAGCCCTCTTAGTTCACTACGGGGTGGGTTGTTGGAGGGTACAATGCAATGGCAGGTCTAGCTTCCTTTTGTTGTATTTCCATTTGTAGGTCTGTCTACCAAACTTTTTTTGTGGGTGGTTGGCGGGCGCTCTGGTTGTGGTTTGCTTCTTTTTTCTTATCAAACATCTATCATCTTTATCTCCCCTCCTTTTTTGTATTTGTTACTCTCTTGAAACACCTCTAATCTTCGGCACTTTTATGACCTTATTGTGTTACTAGAACTCTTACTAGAACTAAACTAACTTTTTTCGTTCCATAAATACATGTAGAATTCAGCTGTTATGTCGATTTGCTTCTAAAACTATAACAATAAGAACTAAATACCTTTGCATGGGAGGGGACAGGTATATTTTCTTGCCTAGAACTGTAGATAACTCTTCAAAGTAATTCTTTCTATTTTAATAGCATTCGAATTTGTGTGGGACTGCCTACTCAAATTAAATTGAATGCATTTGTTGTTAGATCATGCTCACAGGATTTGTTTCTTTGATGGATTTCCCTTATATGACTGATGTTTGAATCCTCCTGACTGGCATGTGTGGTGTAGTGCGGTGCACTTTGCCTTCACAGGGAAAAGGCTTGAGTTTCTTTCCCATGGTGGGTGAATTTTTATCAAGTATCTTGGTCTTTCTTCTTGGACATATTTCGTTCCTCTCAGCTCGGGCTGGCCTTGTGGAACAAGGTAGAATCCTTCCGCCTGAATGATCGAAATTGTCTTGATGGCATTAAAACACTCAACATTTGATAAAAATTGAGTGAAAAATCATCTTCCAGGAGATTGTAGAGCTTCAATGGTAGTTAATATAATTTTCTTATTCGCTGTTGTTTTTGTCTTTATTGCTTTTTCCCTGTACTAAATGGCTGTTTTTTGAGCATCCATCTGCTTCTCTTTACACATACCTCAAATATTACCATAACTTTACAGTTTAGTCTTGAAATGGAAAGTGGGAGAAACCCACTCTTGTGTACTTATTGTACAAATTCCGGTCTTAAAAGAAAAAGATCCCCCCTCCTCCTACACACACATACAACAAAGCAAAACAATTACTGGTCAAAGTTACTTCATTTCCCACACACACACTCACACACACACACACACACACACACACACACACACACACACACACACGCAAGAGACTACCAAATGCCACTAGTAAAAGAGTACATGCACAAGCAACTAATTCGAGTTCATCTTGTGTATAAAATCAAATTATGTATCTACTCTGTGGGTGGTTGGTAGGTGCTCAGGTGTGGTTAGCTCCTTCTTTCCTTTCAAACATCTATCCTCCTTATCTCTCCTCCTTTTTGTGTTTTTTATTCTCTTGCACCACCTCTGGTCTTCAGAGCACACACACGCACACACACACACACACACACACACACGTACACGCACACACACACACACACACACACAGTGGGTGGTTGGCGGGTGCACTGGTGTGGTTTGCTTCATCTTTCCTAAAAAACATCTATCGTCTTTATCTCCCCTCCTTTTTTGTGTTTGTTACTCTCTTGCAACACCTCTAATCTTCGGTACTTATATATATATATATATATATATATATATATATATAATTATAACCTTATTGTTTTGCAAGTGCCATAAAACACTTACTGAAACAAAACACACACACACTCACACACACACACACACACACACACACACACACACACACACACACACACACACACACACGGCACTACCATATGCCTCTTGTAAAAAGACTAGAAAAATTTTATTACATATTATATTGTGTACTAAATGGAGTAGATCTAGATCTACATCTTGCTTAGTATCGAATCAAAATCTCATCCCAGGAAGTAAAACAACTGCTCCCGGCGACTGTTGGGCCGTGAACGAGGCGCGACGCCATGTGATAACACTCCGTTCTCTAGGCCTAGGTGTGGGAAACAAAGCGGTCGCCTCCTGGCTCCTGGCCCTGCCTGGCGCACGAGTCGCTAGCGGCAGCGGGCTCGGTATCCGCGACCCGCACGTCCCGCGCGGCAGAAGTGGAGTCAAGAACAGCCTGGCTGGCCTGGGCTAGGGCTGGGCAATTAGTCGCTTTAGCAAAGTCCGGATAATATGTTAGTGCACTTCTTCGGTAAATAATACTATGTTATGAACCGATTCGGCAAATGGGTTAGAACCACTTTGACAAACGGGTTAGCATCACTTCAACAAATTATGGGTGCACCTACTTCGGCAAACGGGTCAGGAAAGAGAGTTTAGAGTCTGAATTCGGATGATCTACTTATTGAGGATTATCCGGATATTTATCCGGATTTTGCCCACCTCTAGATAGCTTGGGCCTCTCTCCCTCCCTCCCTTCCTCCCCTCGCTCCCTCGCACGCTCACTAAACTTTTGTTGAGAGAAGCGACAGATCAACATGGGCCGCGTGTGGTTCGGGTCGGAGCCAGAGCGTTATGATTGAATGATTTCATTAGTATTAGAAGACTTCAGCACATCAAAGTTTTTACTCGGCAAGTGTTTGTTTGTGTGTAACGCGCTAGACAGTGTGTCATTATTTCTTCGGATTATATTCCTCGCGACTGTGCTGTTTCCCCTCTATTATCTTGGAATTACGAGCGTGATCTTTACTGCTTGTTTATAAAATCTTGTTGAGAGTTCAGGACGCTCCTAGGCCCTATCGTAGTGTGTCATGGATCGATAGACTCATAACAAACAGGCAGTGGGTTCCGCTTGTGTTGTGCATGAGTCAGTACAGGAGTCAATGAGCCTCGTGTGTCTCAAGGGTTGTTATCCCCTTTGTTTTCATTTGGGATTATCCCAAGCTGTGGCTTTTTTGTTAACAACGGTAGGAAAAAGGAAACTAAAAAGGAAATGGCCAAGCTTCTTAACGACGGCGCAGTTTCTTTACTGTCAAAAGTGAATGGTCTTTTCTTTCTTCTGTCTTTGGGTGTTTTTATCCCTGGAGCAGCTGCAGAGAAAGGTAAGTCGGTTCTTTCCGTCAGTCTTTGTTAGATTTTTTTGGTCGCACGTGTGTCGTGTTCTATTCTATCTGGAACCTCCCCCCCCCCCCCCCCCCCCCCGGAAAAAAAATAACCTCTAGTGACCGTGAAGAGGAGGGGAGCAGGAGGTTGGGACACGGTCAAAACAAAGGCAGAGCTCGACGAAGTGTTTTCAACGAATATGAAAAGTAAGGACATTTCTACACGGATCTTTTATTCTTTGCCCCTGGTGCGTGATGTTGAATAATAAACATAGTGCATGTGGTGTCAAGTGATTGTCAGGAAATGAAAGGGGTAGGGGGGACATTGCGTGTGCACCAGCAATAGGGCGCAATCCTGAAATGGAAATAATATTATATTGTCGCTTTTTCTACTCTCTCTCTCTCTCTCTCTCTCTCTCTCTCTCTCTC